ACCACGTCACTTCTTTCAAGTCTCCTTGTCTAGGATTACAAGATTTTTATATTTTCACTTTAGGAAGTTAAGGAGTGGAATGAACTGCCGATGGACAACGAACCCTTCCGGTGAGCCCAGCCAGGGAGGATTCACCATTGTGGAAGGTGGGACAGGATTTGTCTTTGTCCCCTGCCACACCACGTGACGGGAGGCGGAGAGCCCTGGTCCGGAACCTGCCCTTACGAAATACTCCAAGGAGACGACAGGCCCAAGCAGAGGGACTGGCCTTCATCCCGGCTGGAGGGGCCGACGGCAGATGAACAGAAAATCGTCTGAAGAGCAAGGAAAATGATGATGTTGCAGAGAAGAAATGCGATGGAGTGCAGGTAACGCACCGAATATGAAATGAAGATGGTGAAAGAAACGCAGATGAGCAGAAAAAATTCGGTTCGAAGGAGGAAATGAAGAATGTAGCAAAGAAAACGTGAGATGAACAGAAAATTCGTCTGGAATATGAAAAATGATGATGTGAAGGAAGAAAAAAAGGAAGATGGAACAGAAAATCTATCAGAAGATGTTGAAAATGAGGCTTCTAAACGTAGAGAAGAATGCAGATGGAGAAAACTGCCTGGGAATAGTATAGAAACCAGGAGGAAGGGAGAGAAGGTTGAAGATGTGGGAGAAACGACCCAAGGTGTGCGGTGGTGAAGAAAGAAGATAGAAGACAAAGTATGTGAAGAAAGAAGACAGAAGATGTGCTGCCCTGACATCACAAGAAAAGTCGATGATGAAGGACCAACTGACTACAGTTGCTGAGCTGCCGCCATCCCCCTATTTTTCAGATACCAGCCGGGATGGAAGACGAGCTATGCCGGACCCAACTAATGTACTGATGTTGTTGAGGATAATAAAAGATATCAATACCCCAATATGTGAAGGCAGGAAACATTTTTGTGTATTTTCGAAGCATTTTTCTCTGATTTTGTTGATGTTTACTGCTGTGCAATGCTCTTTTTGAGTCTCACTTTTTTCTATGAGTTCATTTATCAATGTCTTGACTATGAAAACACGATGTTGTAGCTATATTACTGACTGATATGAATTATTATTTTATTAAGGGCTGATAAGAAACAACACCTGTTATTGTTTGTAGAATGGGATTTGTAAGCTTGCCTCGGACACTTGGTGCTATGAAGGATTTATCTTTATGTTCACACTTGCTATGCTCTTTTTCTCCTGGGTACAGAAGCTTTGATCTTATGGGAGGTATAGTGAGCTTTATATCAAACCAGTAGAAAACATGTTACCTATGAGATTGTTGTTTGTAAATGTGAGACTATGTTATCGCCCCAGGATTATCTTGATAACATTGACGTGACGTTATGTCTATATGTGGGCATCAAATCTCAGATGAAGTCAGTCTTGGCGGGAGGTAATGATTGATTGTCAGGACCAAACCTTACAGCCCAGACCAAAGCCATATAACAGCAAGCACACCACAGACCTCGCAGTACCACCACATTCCGGGTTGGGATACACCTCAGGTCGACCCAAGGATTTGGACTGCCTGCCAATGACGGACAAGATTCTGCAACCTGTACCTAACCAAGACACCTGGGCAGTGACCACACCTGCACACAGCTATTCAGATCAAACCAAGTTTAGTGTTAATTGTTAGAGGTCAGGAAGCTTGCTGGGCTGACCTCATATAAAGGCCCTGTTGTGTCTCTGTCCACGGGCATTGGCGTGATTATCATTATCATTCTGATTCTGGTCATACCGACTTCGCATTCTGGTTGCTATCATCTCCCTCCTGCCCGGGTCGTCACCGGTTCACTAAGTGAACATGCACGTCCCTCCCCAGGTCGGGAGGAGACTTCAACCAGACCACGGCATCGCCAGCTGACAGATTCGACAGGAGGTGCCCAGCCAGCAGTCACGTCAGCTTCGCCGTCAGGGTACACACGCGAGTCTTCGTCAGAACGTCTAGGTGAGTTACCTACTGTGGGAAGTGTATTCATTCAGGCCCGGAGAGTCGGTGCCGGCGCAACGTAAAAGCATAATGTGTCAGTACCCCGATATAGTAGTGATATTAATGTCCATGCTGGCCGAGTGAATTAATAAATAGTTGTATGGAAGAGGTGTTTAATGTTGTCCCTTTGAAGTAATATATGTGTATTGACATACGGAGACAAGAGGTTGCATTGACGCTGAGCCATCCAGGCCACGCCACCAAGTTTCCTATCTTTATTCCTACCTCTATACTTCCATTTATACATATTCTTCCTCTCATTGTGAGATTTGTCTCATTATATGTGTGTTGGAGCACGGTGTGTGTTGGAGCACTGTGTGTGTTGAAGCGCGTGTAAGTGGGACTGTTGCAAAAGTGAGCACCGTGAGTGTTGAGCACCAAAGTGAGCACGGTGTGTGTGTTGGATCTGTTGTGTGTTGGAGCACCGTGAGTGTTGAGCACGTGTGTTGAGCACCGGTGTGTTGCTGGAGCACTGTGTGCTGGAGTACCTGTGTGTTGGAGCACCGTGAGTGAGCGTGGTGGAGCACCGTGTGTGTTGGACTGTTGTGTGCAAGGGAGAACCGTGTGGTGGAGTACCGTGTGGTGTGCTGGACTGTTGTGTGGTGTTGGAGTACCGTGTGTTGGAGCACCGTGTGCTGGAGTACCGAGAGTGGAGCACTGTGTGTGTGTTGGACTGTTGTGTGTGTTGGAGTACCGTGTTTAAGGGAGCACCGTGTGTTGGAGCACCGTGTGTGTTGGACCGTTGTGTGTGTTGGAGCACCGTGTGGTGGAGCACCGTGTGTTGGACTGTTGTGTGTTGGAGCATCGTGCAAAAGGAGCACGGTAAGGTTGGACTGTTAAAAAGGAGCACCGTGAGTGCTGAGCACTGTGTGTTGGAGCACCGTAAAAGGGAGCACGTGAGTGTTGGAGTACGGTGTTGGGACTGCTGTGTGTGTTGGAGCACGGTGAGTGTTGGAGTACTGTGTGTGTTGGACTGTTATGTGTGTGCTGGGATAACGTATGTTGGAGCACTGTGTGCTGGAGCACCGTGTGTGTTGGAGTACCGAGTGTTGAGCACCGTGAGTGTTGAGCACTGTGTGGTGTTGGAGCACGGTGTGCTGGATCGTTGTGTGTGTTGAGCACGTGCGGGTGTTGGAGCACCGTGTGTTGAGTACCGTGAGTGTTGGAGTACCGTGTGTTGAGTACGGTGTGTTGGATCGTTGTGTGTGTTGGAGCACGGTGTGTGTTGGAGCACCGTGCAGTGTGCTGGAGTACCGTGAGTGTTGGAGTATCGTGTGTGTTGAGTACGTGTGTTGGACTGTTGTGTGTGTTGAGCACCGGAGTGTTGGAGCATCAAAAGTGGAGCACGGTGTGTTGGACTGTTGTGTGTTGGAGCACCGTGAGTGTTGGAGGCCTGTGCAAGGAGTACGGGTGTGTTGAATCGTTGTGTAAGTGAGGCACGAGTGTTGAGCACTGTGTGTGTTGAGCACGGTGTGTGTTAATCAAGTTGTGTGTGTTGGAGTACCGTGTAAAAGCAAGGAGCACCGTGTGTGTTGAGCACCGTGTGTGTTGGAGCATCAGGTGTTGAGTACCTGTGCGTTGGAGCACCGTGAGTGTTGGAGCACCGTGTGTGGTGGAGCACCGTGTGTGTGTTGGAGCAACGTGTGGTGGATACCGCAAAGTTGAGTACCGTGTGCGTTGGAGCACTGTGTGTGTTGAGCACAGTGTCTGTTGGAGCATCGTGTGTTGGAGCACTGTGTGTGTTGATACCGTGTGCGGAGCACCGTGTGTGCTGGAGCACCGTGTGTGCTGCTGGAGTACCGTGTGTTGGAGCACTGCAAGCTGAGCACCGTCTGTTGGAGGCACCGTGTGTGTTGAGCACTGTGTGTGTTGAGTACCGTGTGTGTTGGAGCACTGTGTGTTGGAGGCACCGCAAAGGAGCATTTTTGTGCGCTGGAGCACTGTGTGTTGGAGTACTCTGTGTGTTGGAGCACGGGAGTGCTGGAGCACCTGTGTGTTGAGTACCGTGTGTCGAGCACCGTGTGTTGGAGCACTGTGCGTGTTGGAGCACTGCGTGCTGAGCACCTGTGCGTTGGAGCACCTGTGTGATGGAGCACCGTGTGTTGGAGTGCTGTGTGTGTGTGTTTGTGCTGGGAGCACTGTGTGTACAGTGTGTTGGTGCGTTGCATGTTGGAGTACATTGTAAAATTTCAAAACCTCGTGTCTTAACACACAAACACATTATATATATATATATATATATATATATATATATATATATATATATTATATATATATATATATATATATATATATATATATATATATATATATATATATATACTCACACGTGTGTGTGGAATCCGTAACAAAATTGGAAGATTTTTTTGCCTAGAGTGATGTAAATACACGAAGAGAGGAATAAAGATGGGCAAAGAGAGAGAGAAACAACAATCTTCTCCCATACATTTTGTCTCACACTTAGTTCCATCTCGTCCGTCACGCTACATCAGTCACATAACAACGTTGTTGACAATTAACTGCACGATTACACTACTACTAGTTATCAGGTGGGCGGTCCATCACCGACCACATACTAGTGTTAGTTACCATGAGGATCACATGAAGATTAGCCCCCAAAGCTTATTTCATCTGATGATTAAACACCCTAATGCTACCTGAGGTGGTTAGGTTAGACTTTGTTATGTTAAGCTAGTTTGTTATGTTATGCTGTCAGGCTAGATTTTAGGTGTTTAATCATCAGGGGAATGAAGCCGAGGGCGCTAGTCTTCATGTAATCCATTCATGGAAAAGGAAAGAAAAAATTGTAAAGAAGTCGTACGAAAGAAATAACTTCTAATAGCTCACTCCCTCTGACCAACAAGTAATTCACAGCCACACCCGAGTCTCAAGCTAACCGTCTGGAAGAATGACGGTCAGCGCGTGTTGTGGTGGTGCCAGGGGAGGGTTCTATAGTAGCGGCACTCTTCAGTATGACGCTGGCTCAGGTTCCATACAGGTGTGTGCACTCGCTCTCCGCGGCTCTTTGGTGATGTGGGAAACTGCTGGGTGTTGTCTTTGCCGTGGAACCTACTTTGTCTAGTGGCAGGCTTTCTCCCGGGTTGGTGCCAAGGTAACACTGTTTGTGTTTTTGTGTAAAGATGTGTGTTGATCTGTCAGGAGCTGTTTTGATGTGTAAGGATGTGTCAGACGGTGTTTTGATGTGTAAGGATGTGTCAGGCGGTGTTTTGATGTGTAAGGATGTGTCAGGCGGTGTTTTAAATTGGGAGTGTGTTTCATGGTGTAAGAATGTGCCTGATCAGTTTTAGTGTTCCGGACTGCTAACGTATATTGTATATTCTACAACAGATAAATATATTTTTATATTTCAATAACATCGTCATAGTAGTTCACACTGATTCAGCATGTATATATAAACAGTGCAGGTATATAATGTACAGTTGCCTCCACATGAACGTACCACGGGCTGAGACTGTGTGAGGGCTCAGTTACAACACGTAGTAAGGCAGTGCGGTAGTCATGGGCGTAAAACTGCGATTACCCTGTTTGCTGGCAACACAACAATGCTGCCTAACACATATTACAGGGTTTGTTTATCTTTTATCCCTTTATTGTTTATATCTTACCACAAACATGGTACCCAAATCCGAGCTGTGGTACGATTTAGTGTGAAGTGTGGTAATATGAAGTCAACGGTGAGTTTTAGTAAAATTTATTTATTTATTAAAACTATGTAAAACCGGATTCTTTTATTTTCGTATAAATATTCATGAACTTCCGGACACCAATTTTTTCTATAAATTGTTAATTATACCCAATAGAAAAATATTCCATATCTATGTAATAAGAAATGACAATACTCTGGAAAAATCGTGAATTTAGTGAAACAGAACATGTGTCACGTCAATACACCATATTCTCCTATTTATTTTTTCATAATATTCATAACAAGAAGCTCTTTAAGTTAACAACACTCCAAATATGCAGTTTTATAGACAAAAATAAAGTCGTGCACGAACGAGTTTATTTACCTCCAGAAATTATTTCAAACTGTGAAATATTTCTAGAACATCAGAGACAAAGGGATGTGAATCGTGTTTGTATAGATTTTTAGCAACCACAAATGTTTACTTTTTGAACAGAAAACGTACACAGTGGTATTACTTTGGTAGACAACAGATAGGGTGTTTGAATGTCGCTCTCCGTGGTCTGTTATACCTCCCTTAGTTTATGACAAAATAAAATTAGGTAGTGCGTCTCTTAACGATTATATTTTTTCCCCAGATTATTACAGTATACTTATTAGTCTTGCGTTCACCACTCGATTATCAGCTATGAGCACCTCGAACGTCAGATGTTAATCACTCAACCATCACCTGTTAAACATCTGATCGTCAGCTGTTTACCACTCAACCACCACCTGTTAACCATTCAGCCACCACCTGTTAACCACTCAGCCACCACCTGTTAACCACTCAGCCACCACCTGTTAACCACTCAACCACCACCTGTTAACCACTCGACCGTCAGCTGTTAACCACTCGACCGTCAGCTGTTAATATTCGGCCATCAACTGTTAATCAAAACCTTCTGTTAAATATTCGACCGTTAGCTGTTAACCACTCAACCATCACCTGGTAAGCATTATTTAGACCGTCAGATGTTACACAATAAATTGTAGAAACTCGTCACTCTAAGTAACGAGTAACATTTAAGCTTCAGTATAGATAAAATACAAAGTCCTGAACACTGGGAACACATACACAAAAACCAACTATGACTGGAATTATATGGATCTCCAGACAGTAAACTAGGAGGAAGGTGAAAGAAATTTAGGAATCACTGTTTCACACTTTTTGCACGACAACAGTAAAGGACAACCCATGATTAGGCTTCCTCAGTACTGTAGAATCTTAAAGTCGGAAAATATTGTTTGTGTATTATAGTGTGTGTGTGTGTTCTATGTTTACAAGAACTAATTTTGTTTAGTTTTCGGTAAACGATGAACAAGCGATCTAATGCAAGTATTTTTGTAGTAGTTATGGGATTTGTTTAATATGAGCACACATATTTTCCATTTTATCACGGATTTTATTAGATATGAAGGGTGCAAAATAAACGGACGCCACCCCAAGACTCACGATGCAAAATACTCCTTTAACAGAGTGACTAATATAACATCAGTTACCGATGGGAGTGAAGCAACATCACCCTCGACTCACCATGTTGGTACCTGTGTGAAAGTGTTAAACCGATACTTGCACCTGCGAGATGATCACACCATGACACTTGCAGAAGGTGTAAAACATGCGAAGATGATCGATGACACGCCAAGGTGTACCAGCGCCAGCGTCGGAGAGACGCTGCCGCCGCCCTTCCCACACTTGATGTCGTTCGTGGTTTACGGTCAATTCGCCCACAAGTCCATTCGTCCACATTTAGAGTTTATTCGCCCACACTTAGGAGTCGGTTCGCCTACACCTGAAGTCAGTTCGCCCACACTTTGTCATGTTCTATTTATGTTTATTCATGTACTAGATTACAATGTAATATATATATATATATATATATATATATATATATATATATATATATATATATATATATATATATATATATATATATATATAAAGTCTTAAGTTGTTTATTCGGTGACTTTCAACTATATAAACCTATATAAAATACACAAACTGAAAAGTTTTAAAATGTCAATCAATCATAGAAGTAACAGAAGAGTGGATGTAGGATGTTTTGTCACATATCAGCTGCCGACTCTGCATTGAGATGGGCGCAAGCTCTCAGAAGTTGGCAAGCTGACCTCTACTTCCTCAAGTATTCGTCCCAAAGAGCAAATATTTTGGCCTGCAACTTCCTATACTTTCTTCACTGGATCCTTCGGAGCTTCTTTCCTGATACCAGCCTTATATGTACAGAGGTTAATCTGGCGTCTTTGTGGAGAAGGTTAACAAGCAGATAAAACTGAAGGTGGCATCTTCCGGCAGCACGTTTATTCAGTCGGTTGTACCATCCTTCAATGTCATTATTGGTACACACGGACCGGTTGAAAATACTCCAGCTGGATGGTGGCCATGTTGAGCTGTGGATCCATGTTCTTGATATATAATCTACCATAGTTTGTAGTGGGGCTGTGATGGCTTAGCGCTGGAGACGTTCGAACATCGGAACTATTTCTCCCTCCGGCAGAAACGGAAGGGCCAACAATTTACACAGGTACTTGTATGTCCCGTCATCATGTGCGTACTCACGTTACAGACTAGATCAACTGGACAATTACGAAACATAAAGACGATATTTTCATAGTTTCGAAAACTTTACCGAAGTTCAGTTCTTTATATTAATACATTACTAAACCTAAATAAAACAGGTAACAAAACAGGTAATATTGGGCGAACCGACTCCATAGTGTGGGTGAAATGACCGGATTCTTAGTTCATCACTCACACTGCCGCACAAAATCTGCGGACAATCAGACTGATACCTTATTGGCCTCTCGAACCACCTAAAGGGGCGATCACACTGGGAAAATATTTATTCCTCGGGATAAAATCGACAAAACCGCCGTTCTCGGTCAGATTTTCCACCTGAAAACTAAGAGCCGGGGAAAACGAAAAGGATGAGAGTTCTCAGGCAAGTTTTGACTGCATCTCGGTTTCAATTGAGGTTTCATAATATTTATAATTGAAAGGCATTAATCTTATTAAAACAAATTAATAGGAAACTTTCTTTTTATACATACAAATAAACAATACTAATAACATTTAATTTTGCTTTTGTTTATATCCACTGAGTGCGACCAGCAAGGATCCTCCAGCCTCAAGAATTATTTGGACAAGGAGCACTAAACTTCCCTTGCTGATAAAGTGAGGGAATGTAAAGTGTTGTGGGATTTCAGACATCCATTGCATCACAAGAAAATTTTGAAGCTACAACACTTTTGGACGACTAGCTATCTTTGTTTTGTTCCGAGCGATACGCGAACTGGGCGTTTGATGGAGAAGTCACCTTTTTGACCAAGAACGAAGAAATGAGAACCGAGAACTGCTGAAATTTTGCAGGTGGCGTCATTAAAAGATGATCGATTGACAACAGAGGGACCATAAACACCAATACCTACTCCTCACTTCCATCTTATCGTTTGCTGTTTGCCTTTCCTTGTATTTTGGTCTAAGACTTGTTCGAACACTGAGGTAACACTAAAGGTACAGATACTCGGCCATACGTCCTGACAACATATCATCTTACATAATCATTAACTCATTAACTATTTTTTTTTAATTCCTGTAGAAGCACAATCATAACACGTAAGATCAGCCATCGTAGGATCAGCTTCAACACACTGTACAACTTTCCTCTCTGTAATTAAGATGAGAGGAAATTCTCATACACAGCAGCGCTCTCCTCCTTGACTTGAGAGAATAAATCAGTCTACAAAAGAAACCAAAACTTATATTTTCTGACTTAACGTAGCTGCATATAGTTCAAACGCAGGTCAGTTGGTTTTCAATAATTGTCTATAAACACTCAAAACATACCTGAATTCATTGTTTTCATCGACCCGACAATAAAAATAAACATTGTTCTATCTTAACTGTGAAACTGATTCTAAATGACTGCTGCCTTGTCATAAACTTGTATACACTGTGGTGGTTTAATTACAGCCACACAATAGGCGTAGAAGAGAGAGCGTAATACCTCTTATTACTGGGGTCAATAAAAATGTTCGTGATGGTGTGAAGGTGAGATGGGTGAGTGGATGGGTGGATGAGAGGGTGAGAGGGTGAGTGAGTGGGTGAGAGGGTGAGTGAGGGGTAGGAGAGGGTGAGTGGATGAGAGGGTGAGGGGTGGAGTGGGTGACAGGGTGAATGGATGAAAGGATGAGTGGATGAGAGGGTGAGTGGGTGAGTAGGTGAGAGGGTGAGTGCATGAGAGTGAGTGGATAAGAGGGTGAGTGAGTGAGAGGGTGAGTGGATGAAAGGCTGAGTGGATGAGAGGTGAGAGGGCGAGTGTGTGAGAGGGTGAGTGGGTTAGTGGGCGAGTAGGTAAGAGGGAGAGTGGATGAGTGGGTATGAGGCAGAGAGGGGTGAGGAGTGG